TTATCGCAATCAATATCACAGACTTTGTTTAATGTTTATGAATTTGTTTAATTAGACGAGAACATTTGAAATCGGTATATACTTTTATCAGCGTATTTATTTGTCATTAAAGATTTTTATTAGTAAGTATGTGAATGAGAAATTTTAAACTTTAAAGTAAATAACCCATGCTACACTGAAATACTTGAATTACGCATAAAAATTGACAGCATTATTTTTCTATTAAAAAGTATACTAAGTATCCGGCCGGTTTCCGAATTAAGTAAACATTAATAGAGACTTACGAATTCAAATGAAATTTCTTTAGTTAGTTTTTTTTATGTAAAGTCGAGTTGATTGACCAAGAAGAACGTGACGGCACGAGTAGACTCTACTCACGCCTCATTAGATCATCTTTAGCTCGTTTATCAGAATCAACACGTATCAGTGTTAGTTTAGATATTCATAATTAAATGTACGTAGTTTGTAATATATAACATGTAATGGTACCACCAAGATAGAAAGAACATTTTTGTACACTTTAAATCAAAATACACTTATAAAACGAAAACAGGAGACGTACAATTGGCGGCCTTAGCACTTAAACTGATCTCTTTCAGTCAACTTTGAGATGGAGTCAAATATAAAATAAAATCGCTGATCGCTCTCTGTGCGCTCGTGAGTAAATTTTTTTAAATACACAATGGATTTTTATGCTAGTTTCATCAATACACAGAGTGCTTCAAGAGGAACGTCTATATAAATAAAACAGGAGTATACGGTCGAACCTGAAAAGTTAGTTCCTTAGAAAAAAGCATATAATTACAACAGGAAATAAAAAAATGGTTTTACTTTTAAGATTTTATTATTGACATTTGGCATGCAAGAATGAGGTAGAATAATATTGGTTTTGAAACATTTATTAAACATCCCATCGACAAATAAAACACTTCGACTTTGACTTCTTGGTCGTAACCCATACAAATACGGTGTAATTTTTCCATTGAATGTTTATTCGTACTGTTTGAAATATATTGCAATATATGCGGAACATTCCATGTTAGTATTTTTAATGACTTATAAATTATCACACTTGAAAGGAGCACGATACCGATGTACACTAGTAATATTTACGACTCCAACGATATTCTACCCCAAAAAGCGGTAAATATAACATAAACACCTACATTACCCGAGGTAATTTTCTAAACGGTAACTCATTCGCGAGCTAACGCCGCTGAGCCAGCAATAAATTCACGTTTACGATTAAAAAACGACTAATTACCGTCGCGTCATTAGGCATCCCGAAAAAAGGTTGAGTCTGAGCTTGTTTATTAATCTTGGCTCCGACGGTCGATTAGCTGCAGAGATTTATGTGAATTACTTTATCCAAGCTCTAAGTGAAAAACCTTTATTGAAGGAGGCAGCCATTTGTGGAAAGAATTGCCTACATTTTATTCTTAGGTTAGAATATCAGTAAATAGTTTGTTATCGTATATAAGTTTCTTGGTCATTAATAATAGCACTATTGAAACCCCAAAGATTAGTCCATAGTACAGAGTATAATCCACGTTATTACCTAGTTCTTTTCAAATTGTACGTACTGATTCAGTACATAAAAATAGAAAAGGTTTGATATAACAATTTTGGTAAGAATATAATAAAAAGGGCTGTATATTAACAGTTAAATTAAGATTAGTAGTCATATTAACTAATCCTAACCAGCAGAATTTTCAATTACAGAACAAAACAGCGCTCGTGTGTGCTCACTGTAGTGTACGTAATTAATCTGTTCAGTATTACGCTGTTACCGTTCGATGCCCTATTTATTATTCCCCACGTAAACGCATCGGGACTCTAATCTCATAAACATGAGCAGAACTTAGATTCGAACAAAATTTTACACATCATAATATGACTGGTAATGCCCCGGTCGCATCTTCAGTGGTGAACAGCCACCAATCCGCATTGGGCTTGCGTGTATCGAGCAATAACCTATACTTCTCATTCGATTCCATCCATTTGGAAGGCTGGGCACAGCCCAGCAGTGGGGAAGTTAATAAGCTGATGATGACGAATGTCGAATATTTACTATTTAAATTTTTTATCAAATCCAAGGTTATATTTTAAGGTTACCAAACGCCCTAACCCTTGTGCTGATACTTATTATTGGTGTATTCAGTATGATTCATGTAGGATAAACGTAAGTCAAATGAGAAAGCACGATCACAATATTTTCCAATTTATTGAAATTCGAATATAATAGGTATATTACCATAAGTAAATTATTTACAATATTAATAGAAGTTTTAACTACAATAATTTGTTGTATATATATGTATACACGTATATTTAAAGGTTATATAAATCTACATAAAATAAAGATAGGTACACACAACCGCTAATTTCATATGTCATATATAAAATAAGATATAATTATTACATAAATAATATATGTCAGGTAACCGTTTCAATTGTTTAAAAATAAATATGCAAGCTAATATTTTTAAGACACAGATGTAACATAAAAATATAGTAGAATCATAAATGTCCGGCAGTGTTATTTTTATTTGTAACATACTATGTTTAATAGTTAAATATCCATAATAACTATTAATAATTTCATTGAAATTCACTCATGTATATATTCTTACTTTCTAATAACTATATTTTATTCTTTGGTATACTTATTACACATTTTGTATTCTAGACAAACACAAAGTAGTTTTTTTGTCATTGAATCCTCTTATTATTACTATTTCTGTGACAAAAATCTATAGACCAATTTTGTAAAAATGCTCTATCAAAAAAAAAAAAGAAAAAAATGACTCTCCTTTCACATACAAGCTACAATTGAAATTATTGAAAACTTCGTCAAAACTGGACGACTATGACATAAAAATATTGTTATTATAATAATTATATAATATAAATATTCAAAATGAGGCCCTGAGTATACTTGTATTGGTGTTATCGGTGAGCATTTTTACTTTAATCAACTATCAACGTTTCTGGGGTTATAAAATTGGCGTAAAAATCCTGTATTTCTTTGGCACAGTCAGATTGTGTATTCACAAACTATTTTATACATAATTTAGTTCATATCATATAAAATATTTTAAATATAATCTAAAACAGAGTGCAGACATGCGTAAGGGTCGTGCAATATCTTATATTTATTAATGTTGCGCTCTTGTAATTTTTTTGTGCACTATTAACTATACATTCATCTGTCACAAGCCACCTAAACTATCAAGGCGAATATCTTACGATCGATGTGTACTGTGTGATAGATTGATTCTGTCACACAGTACTTTACGAAGCCAATATTAGCTGATGGTCTCTTTGCAAAGGTCGATATTTCTCATAGTCTATTCTGTTCTATGTCTTTTCCATTATAGGGGAGGCAGGTGCCCCAACAGTAGGGATATTAATATACTGATGATAATGACTAACGGTCGCTGATCAATTTTTATCATCGGATTTTCTATCTCGCTCTCTTTCGCATATCATTACACATGTCTGAACGAAGCAAAAGCCATTTATCGCAATAATCAAATTACCATAAATCTATAGATACTTATATTAATCAACATCAATATTTCTCATAAATTGTGCTACATAAAACAAATAAATATTATATAAATATAATATTGGTGTGTATAATATTTAAAAGTACATAATATGTTCTATATCTAAATAAAAGAAACGAAAAAAATTATTTGAATACTTTTACTTCTCATATCACATAAGATTACAATAAATCTCAAAATCATTGTCAGACTTCAGCAACACACAAACCGAAACGAGAACCAACTATCACTAAATATAACAAACTGTTATTATATAATGCACATATAAAAATGCCTTGAGCAAACACTTGCAATAATTGAAATAAAAAACTAATTGAAACAGTGGTTATTTTTTGTCATTTTGAGACATGATTATTGTACGAATTTACAACGAATATTTAATATTAACATCATTCAAAAAACTACTCGCAAAATTAACGCAGGGAAGCTCGTATATTTAATATATAATATTTATATTATTCTATAGCAACCTTGTTGTAAAGATTTGCAATTAAGACATACATCTTGGGGCATTTCATTTAATGATAACATTGTTTTAACAAATTGATCATATAATATTCATGTAACATTGGTTTGATATGTTTTACGTACTATTATGATAGGCGAATCATACTCGTCAAACTGTTCAATTTATCAACGAACCATACTGTTCATCTTTATGCACTCCTTAAAATCTAAAGCTATATATACACTTACGGATAGGACACAGAAAAATTCTGGTAACATATAACACAATAGTAATATCTAATATCGAGATTATACTGTTTTAGGCCTAAATGAATATCAAAAAGCGTAAATAATTTAAAGCTAGACAATTTTTAAACATCCTAATATTTCGATTATACATTTTTCTCGTGTTATATTTGTAAAAACTGCTTAATTTGGACCGATAAAATGTTGAAATATATTCTTCATATTATATCCATTATTAATCAACAGCTCATTCGTTTATGTAACGCTAGAGAAACCAAAAATATACAGTCATTAAAATAGTCCTATGAATATAACAGCCCTAGGTACTTCACTATTCAATAGCAAAATTGCCTTTTATCATTTAATAATAATTATTAGTTTAATAAATTAGGTTAAGGTTCATAAAAGCAGTGTCGAAATACAATAGTTGATTATATTAAATACAAATCACCCTCCTTACTTCGTTTAATACATATATTTAATAGTAAAACACAGAAATCTAATTATAGTAATGTACTTAATTTTAAAAATAACAATCGTGGACACCTTTAAATCCTGTTTCTATATTTTCCTCAGCCTCGATTTAAGGAAGTCATTATTCGTGGAAGACTACCATTCAGTGAAATCGATCTTCCAAATTTGAAAGGATTGTCAATCATGCATGACCTCTCAGTGTCACAAACCTGCTAAGTGTTACCACCGCTAAATATTTAATGAAGAATGTTGCCAAATAACTCACAATTCCTCTGTTGACGCGATGGGAGCCTTCAATAAGGGTGTCCTAGGACTTTTGGAGCCATCCGAGTTTCTATTCGACGCTTGGAAGTCTTCGTTAGACAAAGATGCAGGTATAGCTGCTATCTTCAATTGGTGGCCATTTAATTTTATTTCAGTTATGGAATGTGAACGGCCATGATTGATGTTAGGTTTTTCTTTATTGCATGTGGTCATCGGATCGTGTGTCGGGGTCTTAGCCATAGATTGGGTAACTCTCGTTCTGTTGGATTGTTCTCTGAGTGCCATTTGATATGCCACTTCGAAAGCTTCGCCTAGCGTTAATATCACTTCAGTCGCTTGATCCTGTAATATGAAAATAAATGATATTTATTGCACTTACACTTAAAATATTACCTCTCATTCACATGCGAGGTGTGTGGAAATTAATTTCGTCGGCATCTTTTAGCTCGAATTAACCTATCAGCCTAAATCTCCTCTTTTTTCTTTCTCTCACATGAAGTTTTGTAAACATTGAAAGTGTTTTTCTCCTAGATTTATTGATCTTAACACTGGACATAGGATATTTAGTTAGTATGGTAAGTTAAAGTTGCACATTAATGCACTACAATCGATGTACTCACCATGGTGGCAACTCTGAAGACGTGACAGTAGTGGCTTTTGGTGGCGTGATCTTTGGTGATGTACGCGAAATGTGTCAGGTCGTCGGCGTCTTGGCAAGCGCAGTGGATATTACGAATTTCATGTTCGCAGACCAACTCCTGATGAAAGAAGTAGAGCAATTAAGAAAACAATAAATCAGCTATCTTTTAATTTAGATTTTTAAATATAACTGCAATAAAAAAGATAACTCGGAAGAAAACTGTGCAATTGTTGTAATTTTTGCTGAATCAATGTTATATAAAGTAAAGTTTTTTTTTTTTAAATCAAATTATTTTTATATTAAAATATAAACAAATAAATATATATAGGCTAAATAACTTGCAAAAGCAGGTTTGGATAATATGTATTTGTCATATATTTTATACCTGATTTTAAACAAATTTAACATGGTTATGAATGATATAGACGATAAAACATATTCAACCATTCAAGAAACAGAGTTGATTGAGATTTGTAGTTAGATCCATATCATATAATTAGAATGGAAATATTTTGATTATTTATTTATTCTTTATTCCAAAAAGAATATAAAAGGCGTAATAGTTTTACATTTAAGACTAAAATCTCATAACTCCTAAATGTTAATAAAAAAAATAGATCAACTTAAGTTACATTCAATTTCAAATCAACAATCATTTGCATTTGGATAGCGTATGATCTTTTAAAGACACAAAGTTACACGGCAACAAAGTTCCACTTACTGAGACATTTACGAATAATACTCAAACCTTATAAATAAATAAATTATATTAAAGTATAACAACTTAAACAGTCAAAATGAATATAAGTTTTATAAAAAAACCTTTCTAAATTATTATAATCAAGTGCAAACGGATACAATTTCTAATTTCAACAAAGCAAGCGACGCGTTTAAAATAGCGCAAACAGAAAAAAACTAATTATGCCACTTAACTAACCGTGAATACTTCTAAAAAATACTTTGTTGAAAAAAGATCTGGAAGAGCAATCCTTTCTTTTGTGTTGTAAGAAACAAAGGCAAGATCGGCCACTGGTTTCAATCAAGTGTGAAGAATGGGCCATAATTAAAAGTCAAGTAAACAAAATCGGGGCCTTTTTGTGTAGTTCCAGCCCCTTTTGTTGGTCGGGATGTTAGCCTGACGTACACTTGGCTGATCACTCAAAGTAACGAAAAAAATAAATTCAACTATAAAGGGAAAAGTGAAAAGGCGTCTAATTAGCAAAAGAAAAATCTCGAACAGTTGCTGCAAAATTAATCTTGAAATAATAATACATAATTTATTTATATATTTTATAAAAGCTTTAGTTTATGTTGATAAATTACTCTTGGATTTTAGATTAAGGTTTTATATTTTAAAAATCGCTCATGTTTACAGATTAGCGTTGAAGACATGGACTTATATCATAATTTCGTCATTTTGCTTTTCTGAAGTTACTTATCAACTGGAAGTCTCACTATAGTTGACGTTAGTGAGGCGTCAAGTTGATGGGAACATAGACTTTCCCTATATAGAATCACATAGGTGAAACGAGTCACAGCCCATCATGTATGCCCAGTGCTGATTGGTGAGTGGAGTTATTAACCTTTGGATGCTCAGCTCCAGCTACGCAAATAATTTAACGTGCTTTCCGAAGTGTAGAGGAGATCAATTGTTTTTTTTTTGCAAAAACAGGTCCATCTGGTCCTAACCACAGATCTCACTAACAAATGCTAGAAAAAATAACACTATCTACGCAGCCAGAAACTACCCTTGACTTTTTTTTTAACGCAAACTCTTCTATAACAGAGTTTTTTACTAACGCACAGTGATTTATTCCACTTACCCGAGTTATAGTATTTAGGAACTTGACACCTCGGTAGCTGATCGACAGTATAATGTCGGGGGAATCCCTCGGTTCTTTGGTTTTCTTTAGTTTCTGTATAGATTTCTTGGTTGACTCTGTACCACGAAGCTCCTTCACCACCGTTGATCCTAGATACTGTACACAAAAAAAATTGATTTCAAAACATTAAATAAAATGAACAAATGAAACCCAAATAGTGGAGGCTTACTTAAAGGATAGAAGAATCAAATAACTGAGGAGATTCCCAATTTTTCCGGGGGAAGAATGGCTGATGATGTCCATAAAAGTCTGCGTAAATAACAATGAACGCAATGAAGTAATTGACCGCGTTTGAATGAACAACATTTTCTTTTTAAGCATCCTATTAATTGTCAGAAAGATAAGTTAAAATACCTAGATGAGGAAGGGCAACACAAACTCTTAAAAAAATACTCTGTGATATGATTAAATGACTAGGCGAAAAGTAGTCTGTACAACATGTTTTCTTTTTGGTAATGAGAACTGTGATTACGATTTCCAGTTTCCGAGTGTTATGCTGCACTTTTGTTTTTGTTAATATAGACAGATTTTTGATTGTGGAATGAGAAGTAAAGTGTTTTTTTAACATAACGTGTCTTTGTTTTTAAAACAATCAGTTGTTTATCCCAACTACAATTACGAGTTATGAGCTTTTATAATAAAGGTAAATCAAAATTACGTTTAAAAACAATATATATTGTACGTAATACTTTAGATTGCAGTCATAGTTATGCAGGACTCACATTAGCTACGTAGGTAACAGCACCGGTGACTAGGACGAACGGTTGGTGTTTCCATTGCGTCTTTAGAGCACCCGGCACACCGACCAGCAGTTCTGACGGCGCCCTGATCTCCAGGTCCGAGGGTCGAGGCGGCTGCGGTGCGGGCCTGTTCTTTTTACTGCGCTTCAATGTCTCTCCGCCAGGTGGCGCTAGCGACGGCACCACTGGCGGTGGCACTGGCTTCAGGTTTTCCGACGGTAACTTCTCTTTGATTTCCTCTTTCAGCTGCTGAATATTGTTTTTCTATAACAAAAGATGTGACGTAAGATTGTCTAAATTTAATTTAGTGAAAAAAACAGTTTTTTTAATACGAGTATAAAGAGTCATCAGTCAAAACACTCGTTTCATATTAATAATGTGACGGGAACGCTTGCTGTAACAAAACATACGGATATGCAATTGAACGAAACGCATCCTAATTAAACACAAAACGGATGAACAGTCACAAAGGTACAATACATTAAAGAGAGACGCACTGATTCACACTTCGGGGTGATGCGAAACAATAACACAAAGGCAATACCGTACAGAAATAAAAAAGGAAAGATGGCGGCGTGAAATTTTAATTAAGGCACTAAATCAGAGGCGACGAACGCGAAATAACAGGTAGTGTCAACTAATTTGACGAGTGGCTTTTGGTATTGAATGTGGCATAACGACTCTCTGTTCCATTATGAATGGTTTGGATTCCGTTGGGATGAATTCGAATGGTTGGGGTACGAAGTGTGTATAGTGCCGGATTTACCTGTGGATTTCGAATGAGCACCTGGGATTATGTAAATGACGATGGCGCTGACAATGAGGATCATGAGTAAGCACTTGACGTCGTTGGTGTTCCAAAAGGAATCGCAGGATATTATAAATATGTTAAAAACGAAGTGGATTTACAGTCCCTGAAAATAATACTGAGTAACTAAGAGGATTGAAAGGGATTGAGCATATGAGCCAGATATTAAAATATATTTATTTCTTTTAATCATACATCACACTATATACAACTAACTATTTGATGTATCAAGAGTCAAAGTTAAAGTCAAAGACAGAGATAAACAACGTGTAAGTAATGTAGTGTGAAACAATAAACTTAAAACGAGAATTATGTAAGCAACATTAATTAATCTTAGCTTGTGCACAGTGTGGAAAAATCCAAATTTATTCAGACGTACTCAAACATATTTTGCTAAAAGAGAAAAAAGTAAATACCGGCCTGCTAGCCACTCAAAATGGAAAATGAATTTAAATTTATTAGTGAGATATTTCTCTCTTCAATATTTTATTATTTCTGAATGATTGTGGTAAATGATGTTATGATTAATAATTTCTATTAAAATAAATTTTTAGACGACATACCATGAATTTAGGAAGCGAATTGTAAAAATAGATATGAAACATTATATAAGTAGATCACATAAATAGATTTTTTCCAAATTCAAATTTAGATATTAAAAACAACCATGGACCATTCTAAATATGCACGGGTACGTATTCAAGAGAATAAAAAAAAATCTTAAAATCATTTTGAACCTGTACATATATATTTAGGGGTGCTATTTCGATGGCAGCAAGTGCCTCTCTCGGCGAACTTGTGAATAGAGCGGACGATGAATAGGAGGTGGATTGAACACTAATTAACTATACGGGTTTGCCGACGTGTGAAATTAAAAAAAAAATACCACTGCGGCGTACGCATACGAAACGGGAGTGATAATTTGAGAAGGGACATGTTTCAAAGAGGTTGCTAATATAGGTACTAATTAAATGGATACCGAACTCTGGTTATTACAAAACTTATTTTGACAATATTTTTGTCAATATTCCAAATTCTAAAACTATTTTCTAGCAGTCTTTTTAACGTTTTCACTGTCTAGAAAGGCATTGAGAATGGAATGTATTTATAAATATCTTTGTTTTCTATATACATTCTATTTGTATTATCTTTCACAATGTAATCAGATAGACGCGCTCAGAGCTATTTTTTTTATTTTATTTAAATTCAAAATTTTACATATTTTATTATTGTTTCTATACGTGTAAAGACCACAAACGTGACATTGGCGGAATTGTGTAATTGCAAATAGGCCATGAATTAAAAAAGAAGAAGAAGAGAATGGAATGTGTTACATCAAAGTATTCAAATCAACTTAATTGCAAACTTCACGTTTGTTTTCCGAATTTTTCTTTGTTATATGACTAGGTGTTTTCTCCCATCTTTGGCTGCGATTTAGTTTTCTATAAGTGAACAAATTTTTAAAGACGATCCAATAGTTACAAATGTATTTGATCAACAAAAAAAATCTAATATTGATGACATAGCGATCTTCAACCAACCTAGTTAGAGTATTGCATTAGACCCGATACAAATATTTTTTAAATTATATATCTAGGAAAAACTTCTTGTCAGAATAATTTGTCACATTTTGTGAGACAATATTATCACACTTACTATCGAAATAACAAGATGCCGAGACATGATCTTTAGCTAAATTTATTCCTGCGCGCTTTGTGTGTGGGCGATTAACACATACTTTAATTAAAGTGTCATTAACTCCTAGGATTTAATCTACCTATTATTTTAAAACTTGTTAACATTTGTACTGTGTGGCGTGTCAAAGAACCTTAATAATAATACTTAGTTTTTTAGACAGTGTATGAAACACAAATTTTCTCTATGCGATTAGCGATATTACCTTTATATATGTGATATTACACGATTAGCGGACTAAAGGAAATTGACAATGACAGAAAGTGAAATTCAAATTAAGAAATGCTTATTTATTTAGGTTGGATAAAAACTTGAATCTGAGTCTAAAGTTAAACTTCGTTTTAGGTATAAATCGAAGACTGTTAAAGTAACCTATTTGTTTTAATATGTTTTAAAGTATGTATATAAAATGTGTATTGAAGTGTACTTAAGTAGACTTTCCAACAGTAGCGAAAGATATCTAATTTTTTTATTTGAAGAATTATAGAATTTTAATATCTACTGCATTAAAAAAAATCCAGTTCATGACCCTTGAATTGTCTATCTTTTTACGTTTGAATGAAATGAAAAGAGTAAATCCATTTTGGTATATACGAAGGGTAGATGGAACACTTTATTTGAAATGATTTATCGTCACTCTCCCCGCAAAATCACCTGTGAGATCGAAATGACTAATCCTTACTAAATTGCTCATCTTGCTTTAATTACATACCAAGTGGGGGGTAACTAGGCAACACCCCCATAAGTGTCCCTGTAAAGTGTTACCGATAAAGAAATTGACGAATATGATTCTCGAAAAGGTGAATCGAAGCATAGATCGTATCAACTATTCCTTTATATCCAGTAGTTTCTTTTTTTTTAAACTAACAGCTAATTTGCAAACTTTGAGAAGATAAAACTTATATAACAACAATGTTATGAGTATGTAAAGTCGTAACATCTACATACATATTGAGAATACCCTAGCATCTCCACTACTTCATTATAATTTAAGTATGTTTAACTTTCCAAAGAACATACTACTGATGAGTAGTACTTAGGCGAAGCCTCGCCTATGTCAAATTAACATAGAAAAAAATACCCAAAAGGAAATATGGAGTACATTTGAATAAAGAAAATAAAGTACTTAATAAACAGGTCTTTTACTCAGGATATGTTCCGTTAACTTAATATTTATAACTCCAGTAATAATTTCAACTTCACAAATAAGATTGTTAAAATATGGTACAGATGATATTGGAACCGGAATGAACTTGTCAGACAATACGTTTATGGTAAAAGGACATCCTCTTTAGAATTAATTCAACTGTCGTAATGTTCAATGTAAGGTGCAGCGTGCACCTGACGCCGTTATAAATTTTATGGCACATCCCTGGTAATCGAGTCAACATATCTGCTGCAACATCAATACCAATAATTTAGAATGCAAACGATTATAAAGCTAAGAGCACAAACCTACACCAAATATAATAATATTTGTGTGAATTTACACAAAAATTATAGCCGGCTTAATTCACAAAAACAAATGAATGTGCGGATTAAAAGCCAGCATTCAAATCTCATGAAATAACATGAAGATGTCTCATGAACACATGTCGTTAAGCTTAAATTTCATTCATAAAAATAAAGTTGGAAGTCGGTGCATATCTAACGGAAGACCGTCAAAAGTAATAATATGTCAATCAAACTTGCACACTAGAACTTGACTATACGTCGCATATTAAAGCATACTTCTATGATACGCACGACGGAGCTTCTCTCAGCCCTACGATTCTGTAGAAATATGGACCCGATTTCGAATTCACTCAGGTATCCGAATTTGATGACAATGACAATTCTTGGACCCAGCACCATAGAACCCATTGCTTCAATCAATTTGGTGAAGAATAGTAAAAAGACAACATTAATGATTAAGTGAAAATTAAGTTTGTTATGCATTTACAACTCAGTAGATCTTTATAGTATTTAGGAAAGAGTAAGAGATTATTATTTGTTATATAATTGAAACACCTTAAGATTAAGACGAGTAAATTCCAAAGAAAAAGTAGACGAATTCGCTTAATAATTTGATTACTTATTCATTCTTCTTCTTTAATTCATTCTTATTAGAATCGCTTAATGACACTTGAAAGCTTAAAAACTCCAAGATTGATAATGAAAATCTAAACCTGTCCTCATCTGGATTGCGACATCTACATTCCTTTAAAGTTCATAGTACTTTAAAACTGGTGTCATAGCAACTCCCTAATGTCACAGTGATAGAGGATGTCCTTTTTACCAATATTCAGATGCACTCATTCATCCGCTCCGTTGCACTCCTATACTGTCACTTACGAACTATACTGTCATTTAAAACAAGTCAATATAGCCCCTTTTACGTATTACGTTTGGCTACGATGGAAATGAAAGCATTCTATGCATTCCTTTTCCTTTTTTAATGCTGAGCATTTTATGCTCAATCTTTTTAGCTAAATTCTAAAGATTTTTTACTTTTACAGCGTATATTTTTAATGCTTATTTGAAATCACTGTTATTACAAATAAAAATTACTGAGCTCTTTATTCCTAAATTCTAATTTTCGTAATTATCAAAATAATCTCTTCATGTGTAATTGTACTTTCGTTTATTTTAATTATATGGATATTATGAAGTAAATCACTTGATATTAACGCAATTATAAAATGACTGCAGTCACTATTAACATTATTTATTCAATGGTGTTTTTTATAATCTTTTTATAGTTTCTCTATGATCAGAATACCAAATCTATCAATGGGATTATGTTATGAGAAGCTATTGAATATTCTAAGCATGTTGACACCACAGTGGTAGCAATGACTCATGATTTGAATAAAAAGCGTTTGACCGATTTATAAGATATTGAAAAAAATACACACGACAAAAAACCCAACGACAAATATTATGCTATAATCGGTAATTATTTAAAGAACTGCAGCGATAGTAAATTATAAAATCAAACAAACATTTGATGAAATGTTGTCACAACGATTAGTAAATTAAGTCATAATATAAAATTAGCGAACAAGCTATAAATGAAGATAAAAAAGTAACTAAACAGAACAGGATGTATAATGTTGTTGTTAACATATGATAAATCTCTTATATAGGGAAGCTTGCCTAACCTAATGGTTTATGTATTAAAATTATTAATTTTAATATTCATTATAATTTTTGTAGCCTGTTTACAAAAAAGAAAAAACCACCTTTTACCTCTTCTCTAGGATTGTCCGAATGATCTCTAAGCACACGAAGTTGCTGGTAATTGACTATCTTGATCAATATTGTCTTAAGATGAAGAAACTTATACGATCTTTGTATAGTCACGAATATTGAAGGTAAATGATATTAAATTAAATATGTCATAAAAATTAATACTCACCAGTGTATTAAGATCAGCATTGATATCTTCCGTTTTGTTCGCCGCCGGTCCGTTATGTTCACCGGAGACTGATGCTAAAATCCTTTTCCTATGTCCAGCTTTTTGTATCTCCAGTACAGCAGTCAATTCCACTTCCCAAATTCTCTTCACTCTATCCATATCTACATACAAATGTTTTCTAAACGTATCACTATATTGTTCTAGATTAATATTCCTTAGCCATTCGTCTACAGTTTCGTTTTGGTTTTTACTTATATTATTATTATTGTGGTTATTACTGATTCGTGTAATTTTAAGAGGTAACTGCTTCGATGATTCTAGTATTTTCTGCCTATCAGATTCTTCAATGCCCATTTCCCGGAGATCGTTCTCGTCTAAGATTCCGTTCTGCAACAATAAAACAATCGTTAAAGTTTTCCATTGCACATTCTAGTTTCAATATATTATAATTTCCGAGGACCAAGTCTATTTGGCGAATGAAAGTTATATGCCTAGTTATCAAGTCAACTTTTTTTCCATATTTCATTTCTTTTAGCTACTTGGCGTGATGCTTGGCGCAATATAAGTACTATTCACAGTGACAAAATTGATACTTATTTATTACAAAATGTTATTACTTACAACAAAATCAATGTCATCGTAACCGCTTTCCAGGAACAATGACTCGTAATCGTGTAGCCCTAAGCCTGCCAACCAATGTCCCAAGTTCGATGCTACCGACGGGCTGAGGCTGGACTCCGAGCAGCTCAAGCCCAGCCGGGAAGTGAACTCCTGCTCTAGTTCTGACACGAAGACGGACTCTCGGACCAGCTTGCTGCCGAAGGAGGCCATTATCTCCGATATCTTTGCCCATTCCTCCTGCAGACAAAGAAATTTATGACTTAATTAAATAATTATAAATAGTTATTAGTATATGTAGTTTTCTTATTCTTAATTGCAGGTTACTTGGACGTCGGTTTTTGGAACATGGTCGTTTGAAAGATAGTAATTTTTGGTGTATGCGCCCTCTTGAATATAACTCCGCTGGCTCACGCTTATCAAATTAAGGAAGCGCTGACAAGTTTTGTTTGCATGAATTCAATATTGTTAAATAGTCTATGGACCAGAGTAATCTGGTTAGAAACACTGTTCTAGTCAAAGCATGAATTTATAATTTGATTGGATGAAAAAATCACAAAAGTAAACCTTTGAATCCGAAAATATTTCAGTCCGAAAGCTAAAAAGTGATTTGTACAATAATTATAATGCCCACTGTTGGGGCTCAGGCCTTCCCTATGCGGGCTTAGTGAGGTTGCTGGATGTTAACGATGGAGGAGCTCTAGAAAATAATTTTTGATCACCCATCATATGACCGACCATTACGAAAGTTATAAAAAACGCTAATCACTGCGTTATCGAGCTCCTCAATCCTCAAGTAATATATAAGCGAGTTATTAATTAAAAATATTATTTGATGATCAAATCTCTTATTATCACCATCGCAGAGTTTAAATATAAAAAAAAAATTAATATAACTGAATTATAAACTTGATTTCATCAAATAATTTGTTTAAAATATAAATTTGGTGCAAGGTGCACAAAGATATATATATTTTTAGTATCAACCTACATCTGTCGTAAATGCAACACCTGCCTACACACTTGGAAACATTTTTTGTCGTCAGTTCCAAGATTGTCACATGCGGGCTCTTTTATGGACAACTAACGATAGTGGTATATATTAAAAATATGGAATATGCAAACGAGACACTCAAAACATGGTATGATTTCAACTTTCATAAAATAAACTATAAATAGATAAGTATGATACCTAAGAACCGATTATTTATTTTATTAAAATGTATTTATGAGATTATTTCTTAAAATTTTCATTTCCATTGCTATTATTATCACATTCTATTGTAGCGATTGTATCTACAAACATTGAATCACTTACAGTTGATTGGACAATTTAAAAATAATAGTTGCCAATTACAACACATATCGTATTTTTAGACACCGATTGTATTATATTGTTCGTAATAACAAACATTTATTATATATATTATTTTAAAACTATGTATCTACTAAACGGATTTGTTTCTAAAATATAATAACTACTATATGCACTATATATTCGATCTTATTATCTGTATAGACGCAACTTGTTGTTGAGAGATAAAACCGCCATTTTACTCCTAACAAATTTATTTTGTTAGCTTCCCCGATATACAAAATACTTAATTTTGTTGTATCCGCTTACAAATGGCACTGAAACCCTAAGTGCATATTCAAATGTTTTTAAATAAGCGTATTGATGCCAAGGTACGGAATTATCTTGAAATTACTAAGTGATAACACGAAGGCCGCCATCCATGACACCATTTTAGCATTCACCAGCGCAGAAAATTGCACAGGCAGTGACAGGAGGTTGAGCAGTAACGTCAGAACGTCTGCGGTTGTCAGCCATAACCGTGACTATAAAAATATACCATGTACGTGTATGGCTTTCATGCAAGGGATTCCGCATGACTACACAATGTTAATATTGTGTTGTTGTTATGGAGGCAATAGATACGTAGTCATTGGAAATATCAAGTATCTATCGTTATGTTAAAAAAAATGACACGATCCGGATAAACAGAATATAATAATAAGCAATCAATATTTAATACAGAACTAAGATTACTAATGGAATCATTCATCAAGATTACACACACAACACATTCTCTGTTCTGTAAATTATTCTACCTCAGATGTATTAACACCAAGAATCCGGTGCGCAAACTACACCGCTAAGAATGTCCATATCAACTCATAAAAATATATACCTAATTGAATAAATTTTAAAAGGTACATATCACTAATCATATTCCCTAGTGGTTTTGCCAATATAACGAGCACTACCTCTTGAATATAAAACTCTAATTCTACAAACACTCTTTCCACTAACAATACGCAAAACATCGGCGCAAGTGTTAATTTCCTTCGTTTCCTGCCTTTGTCTGTATGCTGGTACTAAATTGTTATTTACCAAACGCTCTTTCAAATAAATGTTCATTAATGAAGCGTTGAAGCGTGTCTTGTTTTTACAGACTCAAAATCGAAAAGAAGGAAGTTCCATGTTCGATTAAAAAAAAAACTAAATATTTAGGCGACAAATTTAAGTATTCGAAGAAAACCAAAAAATGCTTATTTCGTTTTCCTATGATTTTTAAATTAAATTTATTTATAATCAAAAAGTAAACATTATTGAAAATAAAACACGTTTTTGAAATCCGTTTATTAAAAAATATATATTTTAGCATAAAAATCCGACTAATATTTATAGAATCTAATCACTAATAGACATTATAAAAAAAAATATTTAATCTTGTTGCCTAGTGAAATAGACAAACGGCGGACTTAATGCCAAAGAGGCATTCTCTACCAGTCAATCAGTAATTTTAGTACAAAACTGAAAGTGGCGACAGACATCATGATCATCTGATAGGACATTATGCTATTGATATCCGTACATAAGAACTATATAATAATAATATTTACAATTCTTCTTTAATTAATAAGATATTACTTTCATTTAAATCAACACATTTCTTTAAATAATTTCCGTGTGTGATTAGATTCAGTTTGCATAGCTGCTTCTGTCAAATTTGACTCATGAATTCATTGATGTTTTACTTTGTAATTTGGGCAACGAACGTAGGTACGTCATATTTGTTTTTATTGCATGACTCATCAGCATACACCATTGTAAGGTACGCTGTACTGCGAATTTTCCTTATTACTTCTGCAAACAGTTAAGTTATTGACCAAAAGATAAGTGGCCTGTGTATTTCATATAAAATGAAGAATCAGACAGAATTCCCTTAAACAATTACTTAAATGAAATTGCATGTTGGCCTAGAAAAACCATGAAATAACAACAATTTATCAACATAGCTTGACGTGGATGGTTTTCCCCACGAAATCAAAATTACTTTATCGCGTTTAGTTTAGAAATATTTTTTTGTTTGATGTACATGTTTTTATTGACATAACTTCTATGCCTCTGGGGTGGTCCATTATTTTTTTATGGAAATCAATACAGACAATTGATTTTACAAAAAAAAACTAAAAGAATTATGTCGTCGAACTAAAAGAATTCGCGTATTTCGCTTTCTAATGACTTTTGTTCATGAACATCGTTTATGCCTATAAGTATATATATATATATATTTTTAATTAAACTTAAACGGTAAAAATTATAAAATTCTAGACTGTTGCTTACCTGCTCATCAAATGGGCTAAGTATCGACAGCGACTTGTCCCCGCTCTGTGTGGAGCTGGTGGTATTACTGCGCCTCCTGACTTCATCCTCGGCGCCGTTGATCCGCTCCTGAGACTGCCCATTGCTGCTCAGGTTGGTCGTGTTGACGGGCTGTGGTGGCTCAGTTGGGGAAGCGTCGTATACTGACTTCAGTTTTTTGAGCGTTTTTGGCCGCTCCGCAGGCATCGGCCTTAGGCCTATACCGTCGAGCGTCGTGGTTGAGCCTTTGAAGAGGCCTGTGTACAAAATAACATGATATCAAAATACGTATATTTTAAGGATTCCGTGCCTCAAAAGAAATAGTTGTTTGACATCCAATTGCACAAACGTCCTTTAAAGGTTCAATGACGACTTTAAACTCCAATAAAAAAAATACTAGTTTTGTAAGTCTAAAATTCCTTCATGAAGAAGTCTTCTCAAAAGCGAGACTGTGGCGAGAAGATAAAACTGTTTTAATATATTCTGTGTATTTAAAAACTCTGTTTTGATCGTACTTATTTGTAAATAATAGGTAAAATGGATGCGACTTATATTGATATATTATGACAACAGTTTACCAACACCAAAGTTAAGATCGGTAGCTTATGAATTTAAGTTATTCTTGAAGATATATTCAATGTTAATAATGTTAACTTCAGTGTAATGTTGAAAATTTAAAAAGATAATTAAACAATAAACAGCCAATAAATTAACTCTAAATTTTCATTGTTTTCCATAGAACCTTCTTTATTTAGTAACTATGAACAATTTTATCAAAAGTGGGAGAAAAGGTGAAAAGATGATCATCAAGGCAAGTGTGTCGAGGTGACGACACGAGGTGTTTATGTACCAAACTGGTTTCGTACCTGACGGCTCTTAAATAATAAAACAGACACGATATTTAGAAGCTTAGAGTTCACGTTCACTACTTAAATGGATATTGCCTTGACTACATCATTTAAATACAAAATATAAATATTTTCCCATTCTTATAAAAAAAGTCTAAATATCCATTTATTAAGAATTAATTTTCCTTGGATTGATATAAAGTATTTTGAAAATTCATATAGCGTTCAAAATGCCGTAAGTAGAAGTCACTTGAGATGGAAATTGAATCCTCTATCAAATTGAAGCAGATAAATAAAATAAAAAACTAAACCAGCTTCAAAAATCTAAAAGAACGGTTAACAAATTCAAAAAACTGCTTTTAAGTTTGAATTTAAAATTATCAATTAAGAATAAAGATATTAAATAGAACAACATATAGTTTTTTGCCTTCTTTTAACAGTGAAAATGAATGGAACCGCGCCATCGTAAATTCAATGAGAAAACCTAAAAACAGTAGCCGCCACTCGAATACAGCACGCGAATATAAACAACATGAAACAGAATGTTTTATCCACAAACAAAACTTTTCACTGCCTGGACGTATATTTATTCTAATAAAAACAAACGTTTCAATTTGGCACAAATTTACTAACAACGCTGAATGAAACAGTCCGGGCGCTTAATACTAAGTATGCGCAAGCGCATGCGCGAAACAATTCAGGCCAATTTGTTGTTTGAAGACGAAGTAAAGATGCTAAAATATGTACAATTGATTGACTCTACAAATTTCCTACCATATCGTAATAATCGTATTCCTACGTTACTCGATGATAATGGTGCCTATTCTCTTGCACCCCTATAAAAAAACCGTTTTAATATATATCGAAGACCAACTTTAGTAACAGGTTTAAATCATCGATAAAAATAAGTCGAGACTCTCTGTGCTAAACAAAATGCTAACTTTAGTCAAATGTTTTATTTTAGTTTGTTTTGTCGTTAATTATTGTATAGTATGAAGGTAATAAAAAAAATCTTATTATTTTCTTGCATCCGGTTATTGTTATATAATTAGTTTACTTATGTTATCTTAGTTATTTTCACAAATGATCAGTGCGTGGGTCTGAACTTATCTGAATTAGATCGGTGAAAGAACATTAAAAACAAAAACCAGCCAAGTGCACACACTGCAACGTAACGTAAAAGTAAAAAAATATCACGATTGTTGTTTACTATGAAGTCGTTCAAAATTTTCGAGTTGAATACAGTTTCGAGAACTTATAAAGCCAACTTAGGTGTGATAGTTTTCCTTTTAACTTCGATATAGAGGTAGGTACTACAGCCGTAAAGTTTGAATTTTTACCAACGACCGTTTAGTTGGTAGAGGGGGGGACTCTTTAATAAAAAATTAGCTTTTTAAAGATTAATAAGTCACAAACACTTTTCTAAATGAAAAAACGGCCTACCCATAGCCCCTGTTTTTGAAAGACCTATCCAAAAATGCATCACACTATGAGGAAGACGAAAAAAAATTGCCACCCCCACTTTACATGTAGAGGAGGTACCCTAAATTATATGCCAAACTACAATTTTCTGGTATGTACCAATAGTTTTAATTTGTCAATAACAACTAAAAAAATCAACTCTCGTCTTATTAATTTTACGATAATTAGGGATATAGACTCTTATTGGCCATGTTAAAACGGATACCGAAAACAAACACAGTCATACTTCAACGACTACAAGTAGGTAAACCTTACAAGTTACCTTAAAACTATACACCAAAACCATCCTTATTTATTTATTAAAACTTCATGAAATTACATTTCATAGCTTGTCGTTGAAAGATTTACACCCAAGAATTGAGTTATTTAAAGTTAAGCACATCTCAAACTGCACTTAAACTAGTTTCCGTTTCTGATTTTAATTTTTTTAACTATCAATTGATAACAGTTTTATAAAAACTAGGACTTTTTGTCTGAAGATGGGATTCAAACCACCGAACTCGGTGCGTTTTTCTGAAATTCTCAGGCATTTACTACTATATATGTTTGTCTATTTTAATTTGCAACTGGATTATCAATATATGAAGATAATAACTTATACAACCTTACTCGGAGGGTTATTTAGTCGTTTAGTCATTTTGATCAATATTTTAAAATCGCAACATCTTTCACAACACGACATTCAAGATGTTAAGATTATACTCGAATTTCAAAATAACAAGTCTCTAGTTATTAGAATTAATTGGCGCAAATTGATCATTCCCTCGTCTCTTATATACTAAACTACTGGGCCTACTTTGGATAAAATGCTGTAAATAATTTTAAATGATATATTAGAGGAAAACCTAGAAACAGTTTCTGAATTTAACATTAAAATTTGCACGCAACCACAAGTCCTACTAAGACTTAATCTCTTTTTTATTCTACAAAATAATTCATTTATTACATCTATGAATTTGATTAGAAAGTCAATTTCAAAAGGTGAAACATCAACTCCATGGAACATTTTCTTATGCAATAGTTAGAATAGAAATTCCGTGTTTCAACAGTTTTCATAAAGGAGGTCGTAGGTTTTAAACATCAACAATGCTCGCTACACGTTGGTTGTAAAGTTACTATCACAACAATGGTGTTAAACAATGGACTATTGTGACCGCGTGTATAAATGTAATAGCCCGTTGGCCAGTGCATTACGGTTCAAGTAATTTCTATAAGGTTTGCGTCCAACTTCTGGCTGGCTATTGAAATATTAACTGTATTCATTTGTACTTGAGTTACGTAACAAAATTGTGACAATACTCAGCTATTCACTGATACATCAAATGTTTCACAAAAGCGGCACGAAAATTATGTTTAGGTAAATAAATATAGGGGAAAAGTTTTGTTTTTAACTTGGACAGCAGATTTTGAATTAATGCACAATAAAATATTAAAATAAACAAATCTTTCCTTTTTATAGTATATAGACGTTTATAGACGTAGAACAAGGAATCGTTTTAAAACCTTTGATTATATCAATACTGTTTTCTGCCAGCGGCTTCGCTCGTGTGTTAATCTATTATACATATAAACCTTCCCTTTGAATTACTCTGTATATTGGTGTAAGCCGCATTAAAATCCATTGTGTAGTTGAAAAAATCGCAGCGTGCAGACAGCGGGAAGCAATTTTTATTTATACAATGTATAATATTTGTATAAAAAAGTGTATAATCCAAAATATAAACAATGATAATAGTTTCTTGTAATACAGCATAATTTCTCTATCCGTATTAGAAAAACAATAAAGACAAACCATTGAAATAGAAGCACACATGAGTGATGTTATACAGTAAAAAAAAAAAATAGTTGACTTTATCACCTAGCTAAAACCGAAATTATAAAACTATATAGAATATCTTTAGGTGGCATTTGTATTAAAATAGCGATTACGCTTATAAGAATGCCACATTCACAAAAGAATTTATCAGAATGACCTTCATCGATTCGCAATAAGAATAAAAGGTTGTGTAGAAACTAAATAACTAACATAACGTTAGTTAGTTCCGAAGAGTCAGTTTTCTATTGATAATTTAAGTAAATCGATATTAAAACTTATACCAGATATAATTGATTCAATTCACGAGTAGTATGGGGTCGGGTTTACACAGGTGAATCATGAGTTCTCGCTACTACCGTATAATCGCACGTTTTAGTTTTCTAGACTAAACAAAAACCTCCTTTTACTCACAGTTTCCCATCGAACTGGATATCATTCAGCATTCCGATGCATTCTACGTCCGTCATCTCGGCATTAGTCACTTTTATTTTGAGGAACACCTTTTAACGTTGCATATTCACACACGTAATCTATTCACACGGGATATGGAACACAAATCCATAAGTGAAACTCGAAAACCGATAGGCTCTGTAAATTACACTTTTACTTTTAACGATGTATCTAATACTATGACGGATATTAGACGTTTTGGAGGTTCCAAGGAGGTTGTTTAAGAAATAAAAGGAAGTATCGATGCGATCGACGAGACAGCCGCGTGGAAACTGTCGAAGCGACACGCCAAGTGAAACAATATTGATAAGAGACACGTGACGTCACTTGTTAAGGCCACTTTATTAATCTGCATCAATTTATTCATGAAGACAATTGCAGGACCGATTTGTGTGAATCTTTCTTATCGATGTTGTGAGCGGGCGGCGAAGTAACCGGCCCGTACCGCCGGAAGATGGCGGTACACTAAATTTTAAACAGACCAATTTTCGTATTGGAATGAATGAAACACTTCAAGAGTGCAGACCTTGTTTCGATAAAGTCATCGTTGAGTACACAGACTGGACTGTTAGAGTCATTCATTAAAAAAATGAGAAGATAAGCGTAGGACGTTACCGCAAAGATTTATTTATAACACTATCTGTGGGTACTTGGTGTATTA